CTTCCGACAGGTGAGGGGCCGGGCGCGGTGTCCGGGCGGGGTCCTGCCGGTGTCCCCCGGGGGTGTCGGTCCGGGCCCTTGGCAGCCTCAGGCCCCCGGGAGCTGCTCCGCGCCCGGGGAAGGCGGACAGAGGCCGCCTCTGCCCTTCTGGCCCGAATCTGGGGGGTGGTTCCCTGGCTGGAAAGGAAAGCCAGCAAAGGAAACGCTTGAGACCCAGATGGGACATCTCGTGTTCCAAACACCGCGTTTTTCTCAGTCCAACTCAAAACTTCTGCACCGAGCTCTGGCTGCTTCCCTGTCCCGTGGTCTCCAGCTGATCGTTTCTGCCTGTCTTGTAAGGAGAAGGGAAAAATTAAAGTATTTAGCCATATGATAGACGTGAGTTGGCTTGGAGGCTTTTCCAAGCCCGCTGTGCCCCCACAGCTTTCCCTGGGAGCTGTTCCAAGTCACCTGCTTGGAGCCCTGTGAGCAGCCAGGCAGGGGCTGGGTGAGGAGTTTGTGCCACCAGATGGTTGTTGATAAATAACTTTACCCACCTCGGGGTCTGTCTGTGCTCCCCTGAACCCACTGGGAGCTGTGGATGGATGAGCCAGGGTGGGAATTCTGCTCCACGAGCTGCTCCCAGTTCACTCCTCGGTGCTGGGACTGGTGCAGCTGGGAGCTGTGGGACGCAGATGTGTGTTCCACGTGTCCTTGTGCCCTGGAGAGAGTGCTGTGGAGCTGCCAGGAGCAGGACAGAACTTTCTGAAAGAGGGAAAAGTGTGGCTGGAACAGCGGGGGAAAGCTGAGGGTGCTGGCTGGGCCGACCCCCATCTCCTGCTGCTCTCTCCCCGCTCTGCTCTGTTGCAGTGTGGGATCCTCCTGGGAGCCGTGCTGCTCATCTTCTGCTCGTGGATGACTCACCAGTCCTGCATGTTCCTGGTGAAGTCGGCCAACCTCAGCAAGCGCAGGACCTACCCCGGCCTCGGTGAGATCCCAGCTCCGGGGCTGCTTCCCAGCCCTGCCGCTCTCCTGGCAGCACCGTCACCTCTCTGTTCGCATTTCCTCGCTGGTGCTGTTGGAACAACAAATGTTTTCCTGCTGCAGTTCTCAGTTTCCCGTGTTCTGCCTCTCCCCCGGGGCAGTGCTGGGGTTGGATCCTGCTCCCCACAACCCTGTTAATGGGTGCTGAGTTGTTTTGACTCTGTGGGGCAGGGGAGGAGATGATCCAAACCCCAGCTCCCAGGAGCCATCTGGGATGAATTGTGGGTCTGGGATGAATTAATTGTGGGTCTGGGCACGAGTTCCCCACCCAGCACTGCAAAGACAGCGGGTTCTGCCAGCCTGGCATGGAGCTGGGCTGCCTGGATCCGAGCTGGGAGCTCTTTTATGGCTCAGCAGAGAGGAAACAGAGCGAGGTTCCACAGGGCTGAGAAAATAAAAACATCTGGAAGATCCCTGGGTGGGTTTTGGCAGAGCCTGGCCGCCCTCAGAGCTCAGCGCTGGCGCCGGGATTGGCCTCTGCTCGTGGCTTCTCTTGGGATTCTGACTGACTCGGGGAGCAGGAGGAGGTGTTTGGGTTCCAGTCCTTGCTGTTGGCATATGAAGCAACAGGAAAAGTCGCCTTTTCCTTCTTCTGCCTTACTTTTCTGTGGGAGCAGGGAGCTGGTTGGCGCTGCCCTGGCACAAGGGCTCCCAGCAGCTGCTGACAGATGGGTTTGCTCCTCCCAGGAAGCACATCCCGGCTTCTGCCGACTTGTATCTGCTAGAAACGGGAAAGATGGAGAAGCTCCGTGGTCTGGGAGGTTGTTTTGGTGCCAGAGGGAAGGGGGAGCGCCCGGCCCAGCTGCCGCTGCTCCCTGCCCCTCACAAGAGCCTTTGTGTGCTGCTTCCCGGAGGACACAGAGTCCCCTCCACCTTGGAGCGTGTCCCGGGAAGAAGGGATCCTCTGCACACCCCGGAGCCAAGGGGCTGGAATACAGAGAGGGCCAGTAAAGCTTCCCAGCTTCCTCCTGGCAGGCGGGGGCTGGCAGCAGCGCCTGTGCCCGCTCCCGGTGCCCTGGGAGAGGTGCCACGGGCCGGGAGCGCTCCCACGCCGCATCCCAATGCTCCGAGCTCGGGCAGCTCCACACAGACCCCCTTTGTCCCCACAGGCTGGGCCCGGGGACATCTGCGGGCACTCCTGGGAGGCTTTGGCAGCGCTGAGCCGCCGGGGAAGGTTGTGCACATTCCCTGCAGACAGGCAGTGCCTTCCGGAGGAACACCGGGAGCGACGGCTCCGGCACAAAGGGTGTCCGGGCTGGGGCTGGCTCGTCACCGCTGCGGGAAGGGGAAGGGCTGCAGGGAGATGTGTGGGTGAGGAGGGAAGTGGGAGGCAGTTCCCACGTGGATTTCAACCAGGGGATGAGTGAATCCCTCCCCTTCCAGCAGCACTCGGGATGTGCTGGGCAGCTCTGTCCCAGGAACCACACTGGGTTTAAAAGGTTTCTCCAGCTTCTGAGCAAGTTTGGAGGCATTCCAAGATCCCATTCCAAGGATTTGACTGTACCATTTATTTTATAGTCGTCACCTCCTGGAGAAGATAAAGAATCCCATTTTTCCATTGTCCCCAGGCAGGGACACCTGCCCACAGTGTTTGTGGCTTGTTCTCATTGAACATCAGTTCCAACCAGCCGGGGAGATGGGCTGGTCCCAGCATCACCGGGGGCTGTGCCCGTATCCAGAGGCTGGAATGTGCTCTGGAAGGATCAGCAGCGCCATTCCTCCGTTCCCCCACCCCGAGCTCAGCCTGTCACTGCCCCATTCCAGGAGGGATGTTTTCCTCTTGCTGGCTCCTCTTTCTCCTCCCAGACCTGTGGTCTGTGGGCCTGACCCCCCTCAGGGCTGCTGCCTTTTCCCTCATGGTTGTGAATTCCCAGCGGAGGCCGGAGCGGAGCGCTCCCCGTGCCCGGGCACAGTGCCTGGTGGCGGCTGTCCCGCTGCCCTGTCACCGATCCAGCAGCTATTTTGGGTGCTCCCCCACATCCCTGCTCCAGGCTGTGGGTCCCTGCCGTGCCTTTTGCTCATTCTGTGGGAGAACATCTCGTTTCCTGAATTTTTAGCTCGAGTAGAGTCCAAGGAAATCAAGAGTTGAAGCTAATATTTAAAATAGCAGAAGAAGCTTCCAGAAAGGACTCGAGTTTGTTTTCTGGCGGGTGCTGGGAATGTTGGGCTGTGCCTTGAGGGGAGGCAGAGGGGACTCCAGGGTGGTGGGTTCATGCTGGACCTCACTGGCAGATCTGGGCACTGTGGTCTGGGTTTGGCACCGGAGCTCCCCATTCCCGTCCTGCCCAGAAAGAGCTAAAAATAGAAGTCAAGTTTTCTTGGCATTGTCTTTTTAAGAGAAAACCCAATGATTTGAGGACTACTGAGCATTTTTTGCTCCAACCCAAGGATGGGAGGGAGGGGGAAAGCAAAGCCTTGGCAGCAGCCCTTTGCTGTGGGTTGGGAGCACTGGGTATTCTGGGAATGGGATTGAACGTTCTGGGCACCAGCTCAGCTCTCCCAGCCAGCGATGTCGGGCGGCCCAGTTCGAGGGGGAAGATAAAAATAAAAAGGGGACTTGGATTGGAATTCTGCACCACTTTAACTTTTGCCACACACAATCTTGTACAGGAATATTTTCTCTCCCATTGCCTTTAATGGCTGCCATGTGTGGCTGCTGCTTCACACCACTTCTGGTTTTAAATAGAAAAAAAAGAACCTGCTTGCTGGCTTTCCCTCATCCCTGTTCCTGTCTTATGTGGTTTCCAGTTTCCAAAGGGAAAGGCTGAAAAAGAAAGTGGGAGGGTGAGGGAAACAACCCCAAAATACCAGTGGTGGGTTCCTGCTGCACTGCCCTGTGTCACTGTTAGTGTCTAATTGTGAGCTGAGATCTTGCCCTGTTCTGGACTTTTCTTTGACTAACTTCTACTCTTTTTTCCCCTTTTATGCCAGCATTTCATGCCTATGGAAAACCAGGAAAAATGTTGGTGGAAACAAGGTAAATCTGCTGCAGATTCAAAGTGTGAACAGTTTGGGTGTCTTTGGTGAAAACTTTTCTGTGCTCTCCTTCCTTCCCCTGCTGCCTCCTGGAATTCCACAGGAGGCTGAGCGAGGTGCCCTGAGCACAGCTCACAGGTGTCACCTCCATCCCGCCCGTTCCAGGGCTCCTGGGGACGGGAGCGCTTCCCAGGAGCACAGAAGGTGGGGATGAGCTCCTCTCCTGCTCTGCTGTGAAATCCCAGCCGTGTCACTCGTGGCAGCTTTCCAGGGGTGACATCCCTGCTGTTGAGTTAGTGGGAGGGAGCGTTTGCTTCCTTGGATCTGCTTTGCTCCTGCCCTCTGTGCTCCCTTCCCTTCGAGATGCCTTGAGGGGGAATCCTGCCTCCATCTCTGCTCCTCCCGTGACCCCAGTGTGGATGTCAGGTGATGGCACAATCCTCACAGCCTTGCTTTTTCCAGCAGGGATTCTTTTCCAGGCGTGTTGAGCCCAGGGCCGGCAGCGGTGCTGGCTCCTTCGCTCTTCCCAGCTGCAAACTTTTGCACAGCACTAAAAATACACAGAATATTCCTCAGATGTTGCTTGTCCATGCAAGCAGAGGCTGTAATTGCCACAGGGATGTTCTATAATTGGAACTGGGAAGGAAAGTGGTCCAGGAGTGGGAGGAGAAGCAGCTCATGGACAATCTTTTCATTAAAGTGTGGTCCATTGTGTGGAGAGACGATAGCTGGATATGGAGACTCTCATGGCAGGGTCCTGCTGTGGGTGTGGGGCTCTGAGAGCCTCATGCTGATTCCTTTGAATTTTTCCAGGAGTTCAAGGAGTTCTTGCCATCTCCAAGACTAGTTTTCCTTGGGTTTTTTCCCCGTGGCTCCCAACAGGAGTTAAACCCCTGCGCGTGTCAAGGGCAGAGCTGCGTGTCTGAGTGTTTGGTGTGGATGGAGGTTCTGTGGTGGCTGTTTTATGGGGATGGAGTGCAGAAGGGCTGTCCTGCTCTTCCCAACGCTGAGGACGGGAGCGTGGCCCTCCTAACCCAGCCCTGTTTGTGTTTGCAGCATGATTGGGCTGATGCTGGGCACTTGCATCGCTTTCTACGTCGTCATCGGCGATTTGGGCTCCAACTTCTTTGCCCAGATGCTCGGATTGCAGGTGAATAAATCACTGCTGCAGTGCTCCCAGACCTTGCCCTGAGTTCCCTGGATCCAGCAGAGCTCCTGCCTCAGAGTGTGCTCAGCACCCCTGGGGTCCCAGGGGGGCTTTGTGGGGTCCCCTCACGGAGAGATCCTCGTGCACGGAGCCTGCAGCTCTGGGAAGTCTGGGAAGCTCTGACATATGGCAAACAATCAGCTGGGTAAAACTCCAATAAGGCATTTCCATCAAAGGAATTCTTTTTAACTTGGTCTCCTATTAATTCTGGAGCAGATTCCTGGGGGAGATAATGCTTCCTGCCTTAATTCCTCCCCCAGTGGGTAGTGACAGGCAGTTCCTCTGCCTGAGTTCTCCTCCCTGTAGTTCAGGAGGGATTTTTGTCCTGTCCCTGGCTGTTTTTGTGGCCAGAATCTCTGTGTTCCTGCCTCCTCAGCCGTGTGATGAGCCTGCTGCTGGCTCAGGATGCTCAGAGGCAGGAGGTGCTCCTCGGAGCCGGCACGAGGGCCGTGCAGGGAAGCAAAAGGATTTTTGGTAGAGTGTTATCTGTGCTGCCTGATGCTCCTAAGCTCAGATTAAGGGACTGTGAAGTTAAAAAAGATGCGTTGAGGCTGCAGCCAAATTAGGTATTAAATATTTCCAAGCATTCCAGAGTGTTCTGCTATAATAAATACCAGTGTGAGGCTTTGATTAATTTTCTGGATTGGAGTTTTCAACACTTTCAATTTCTCGTCTCCCCAAGTAAATTTAGATTTTCTTTAATTGCATGAAAATACCTAAATAGCTTGTGCTGGATTAGCATTTAACCCCCCCAGCCACCCCCCAGGATCTTCCAGCTCGGACCTGTCACACACTGCAGAGCAACAGTGGCACCCAGTGACTGTCTCAGCTCAGCACAGACACAGCTCGCAGAGCACTGAGCTTGCAGCATCTTCAAACGCCTCCAGACACAGGATTTCACTGTTTAAAGTTGCTTTTCACTCTGGAAAGATGAGCCACGCCGGGGTTTGCTGATGGGGTGGGTGTGCTGGGTGTCCTCCAGGTGTTTATGCCGGTCTCTCTGCAGGTGTCGGGCGCGTTCCGGATTGTCCTGCTCTTCGCTGTCTCCCTGTGCATTGTCCTTCCCCTGAGCCTCCAGAGGAACATGATGGCCTCCATTCAGTCCTTCAGTGCCATGGCTCTCATCTTCTACAGCGTGTTCATGTTCGTGGTGGGTACGGACACCGGGGATCCCGTTTTCCTACTTTTCTGTTGCTTTTTAATGACCAGTTTCACCTGCCAGATGCTCCTGTGATTCCCTCATGGAGCCCCAGCCCTGTCTCACCCAAATTTCAGGACTGGAAGGAAAGGGAGGTGTGGGAATTCTTTCCATGTAACTTTTTCTGTGCAGGGTCCCACCTCAGAGCTGCCTCCTCGGGGAGGTGTGCCTTTAAGAAACCACAACATTCCGAGAGTTGGCTGCACTGAAACGTCTCTGGGGATTAGAAACCCCATCCAAGGATATTATAAACAGACATTCAGACATATTTACCTTCTGCTTCCTGTGCAACCCAGCTCCTGCCAGTTCTTGTGTCCATGGCAAGGCAGCTCCCTGGCCTCGGCTCCTCCCCTTTTCCATAAAGTTTTTCCTTCTCTTTGGTGAGCTGGTGGTGTTAAATGGCCCTGGAGGAGCAGGTGGGATCCTGTTTTAGGACCCTTTGTCTCTCTCTGCTGAACAGGATTCTCTAAGGCCAACGGTGCTTCCTGTTTGGGTTTAAAAACACATTTTAAAAAACACATTTTAAAAAGTGCAGAAGAGGTTGCTTTGAGCAGCAATTCTCACAGTTAATGTGAGGGTGGAAATTGTCCCACCCTGGTGTGTGCTGCGACGTGTGACGGCATCAAAGGAGGGGGGGATGTCATCGATCCCTTGAAATACTCCCTGGGATCCCTGGTGGCCCTGGGAGCTGTGTGGGTGGGATGTGGAGCTGGGGGATTGGGAAGGGGCTGTGCTGGCAGCTCGAGCTGCTCCCAGCAGAGCTGTCACACGCTGCTTCTTATCCCAGCCTGGCACTGCTGCTGCCCTGGAGCTGTTTGGGGCTGGCTGCTCACCGCTGCTCTGTGTCCTGGCTGCAGGTTGTGGTGTCCTCCTTCAACCACGGGCTCTTCAGCGGGCAGTGGCTGCAGCGAGTGAGTTACATGCGCTGGGAGGGCATTTTCCGCTGCATCCCCATCTTTGGAATGTCTTTTGCCTGTCAGTCGTAAGTACCTGCCCTTCCCAGCCCTGGCACTTGTCCCTGCAGTGAGTTTGTGTGAGGGCACAGGGTCAGGAGGATCTGCAAGGGGTAGATACCATCTGCTTCGGTGGTTTGTTTTCATCAGAGTGTTTTACAGCTCACTGAAGTTCAGCCTCTCATTCAGTCGTGGCCCTTTTGTTAGCCAGACCCTTTTGTTATCCCATTTCACCTGGGAGTTCTTGTAATGGAGCAACATGAGACTGCTGGGGCCAAACAGCTCCTGAGGAGCTTCTGGTGCAGCTGCAGGAGCGATGAAATTCCCCTGGTTCTTGAAGGGAATGCTGGAGCACCAGGAGAGGCTGTGTGACCCCGCTGTGCCACCCCCACCTGGGCAGTGAATGCTGGGGGCTGCTCTGCTTCCACAAATTTCCTGGAGAACACTCCAAACATCACACAGCTGTTGACTTTGGAGGGTTGTTCCTGCATTTCCAGTTCCCTGGGTTTAGTGGCACATGGAAGGAGGTGAGAGCAGCCCAGGCAATTTCCACCTTTCCAGTTCCCTGTTTTTGTGAGGGTTTCTGCTGCCAAGTGGAAGAAGGTGAGGCAGGCCAGGCTGTTCCCAGCAGCATTCCCTGCTGCACCAGGACAGCATGTGGCTGGCCAGAGCCGTGACAGCTCTCAGCAGTGTAAATCCAGCCCTGGACACGGGAAGGACTGGCCCCCTCTGGAAGGACCATCCTCCTCTGGAAGCCTGGCAGAGCTGGGCTTCCCCCGTGTAGTTCCAGCAAATGGGTCTCGTGCCAACAGTAAATGAATGTGACAGATAAAATTTGCTCAGACTGCTGTGTTTACACCCACTCCAAGATCCAAATCATCATTTCCCACTTACTGGCTCTCTTGGCAGCTCAGATCCTACCCCAGCACACTCCAGGCTTGCTGTTTAATGTCTCCATTACAACTGGCAAAGGGAATTGTGTTCTCTTGCAGCTTTACCTTGTTACAAATCCCTTTTATTTTTTTTTTTTTCCTTATGGAAGCCACACAGTACCCAGCACAATTTTCCTGGGAATTGGAAATGCAGGGAAATGGTTTGGTCTGGATTTGTGTGTACCTAAATGTGGGCTCCATGGCAGCACTTCTGTGGCAAACGCAATCTAAAGCAGTGTGTTTTTTCCAAACATCAAGAAAATACCCTGTCCCCAGCCCAGACAATATTTATATATATATTTTTATTTCTTTCCATCTCTCTCTTCTCTCTCTTTCTCTCTCTACCTGCCTTCTATATATTCAGTTCCTCTCTTTCTATGTAGTTTATAGTCTCAGCTGGGTAGATTTAATTTTGCTAACCTCTGAATCACCTTTTTAACCATCTCACACACTGCAGAGCCTCCCTGTTTCCCTCTTTTTTCCTTCCCAAGCCTGAATGTTTGGCTGGACCCTTCCCTTGGAGGCTGAAGGCCAGAATGTAGCTGGAGGTGGCTGTGGAGAGGGCAGGGAGGGATCTGAAATGGAGAGATTCCCAGGGCAGCCAGTCTCCTCATTCCCAAGGGGGAATCCCAAATCCCAGACAAGCCAGTCTCCTCATTCCCAAGGGGGAATCCCAAATCCCAGGGCAGCCAGTCTCCTCATTCCCAAGGGGGAATCCCAAATCCCAGGGCAGCCAGTCTCCTCATTCCCAGGGGGGAATCCCTAATCCCAGGGCAGCCAGTCTCCTCATTCCCAGGGGGGAATCCCAAATCCCAGGGCAGCCAGTCTCCTCATTCCCAAGGGGGAATCCCAAATCCCAGGGCAGCCAGTCTCCTCATTCCCAAGGAGGAATCCCAAATCCCAGGGCAGCCAGCTGTGCTCCCTGCCGGTAGCTCCAGCCCCCAGTCTCCTCATTCCCAAGGAGGAATCCCAAATCCCAGGGCAGCCAGCTGTGCTCCCTGCCGGTAGCTCCAGCCCCGGTGTCCTGGAGCCTGAGATGCTCGGCCTCCCTTGGGATTAAGGGTTAAGGACCTTTCTTTGGCCTCAGCCTGACACAATTCCTGGGAATGGCTTGGTGCCCTCTGGAGCTGGGGACATCCCTTCCCATCTCCCTGCACACTCCCCCCTCTTCTCCCGAGTGTTCCAGGATGCAGCCCCTAGAATTAAACTAACAAGAGGTTAATGAGTGCTAAAATATGCACCTGATGTCACAAAGGACATTCCCCACTCCTTCCAGGGCTGTAAATACCCCAAATCCCAGGGAATTGGCACTCCCGGCTTTCTGTGAAGCGAGCTGAAGTAGGACAGGCGCTGGGCTGGGGTTTGTTTGTTTAACTTTTCCTTCAGACAGTGGGATGCTCCAACCTTCTTCCCGCTTTTCCTCTGTAAACACTGTGTTGCTTTAATTATCAGCACGGAGAGCTCCAAGAACAATAATCTCCGGCGCTGGGGCTGGCCCCGAGCCACCCGCGGCCCCGGGAACAAACGGTCATTCATTTTGCAACCCTCTCTGAACCCGAATGTTTACATCACACGTTTCTCTCCACGTGGTGGGGTGGGGAGAGCAGGAATATTTTTGCAACACTTAAAAGTTATGAGTGTTCTGAAATCTCTTGGCGTTAGCAGTATAAATTGTGGAATAGCAGCAGGTGTTTATGCTCCAGAGGGGGAAGGTGTCAGGGATTCGTTGCTGCTGGGCTGAAGTAGAGAACGGGCTGGGATTGGGGGTTTTCTCCCGGTTTTTTTGCAAGTTTCCTTAAATATTTTTACCCTTTTTACAGTCAGGTCTTGCCTACTTATGACAGCTTGGATGAGCCGTCTGTCAAAATCATGAGCTCCATATTCGCTTCTTCCCTAAACGTGGTCACCACCTTTTACATCATGGTAGGAACTTCCCCTTCTCTTCCCTTGCCAGAAATCTGGAGGGGCCACAGGGATGAGGGTTTATCTACAGCTGTTGCTGGTTTCTGCTTATCTGTGTTTATTCTGACAGATAAGTCATCGTGCTGAAAGCAGAGTTGGGTGGGAGGTGATGAACCCAAGAGCACAGGGGGCATTGGGAGAATCCAAGATTTCAGAGTAGCACGTTTCCTTGGATGGAGACAGAGTGGAAGCCCAGCTCTTCCTGGGCCCAACCTGGAGCTGGGGCTGCTACTCAGAGTTTGGGAGAGCTTTTTCCAGCCTGTTGTGAAGGAGGTTATGCCTCATAAGGCAGCAGTTAATAAAACTGGGTTAATAATTCCTGAGGAGAGCCACGGCCCATGAGCCAGGCTGCTGCAGGGAATGGTGACAGCCCCTCCGTTGGAGAGGGACAATCCATGGGCCTGGCAGCAAGGAAAGTGTGTCCTCTAGGAAAACCCCTGCATTTGATGAGAAACTTCCTTTTAGGCAGCTCCCACTCTTGATTAACGACCTGTCCCAGGTTTTGGGGTGCTGGGGCTGCTGGCAGGTTGCAGGGGAAGTGACCTCACTTGGCTGCTCCGATGGGAGCTCACTGTCCTGCCCCACTGTGAGGAGCAGGTGTGAACCCCACTCCCCTCCCCAGGTGGGCTTCTTTGGCTACGTGAGTTACACCGAGGCCATTGCTGGGAACGTCCTGATGAACTTCCCTTCCAACGTGGTGACGGAGATGATCCGGGTGGGATTCATGATGTCGGTGGCGGTGGGGTTCCCCATGATGATCCTGCCCTGCAGACAGGCGCTCAACACCCTGCTCTTTGAGCAACAGGTAAGATCCCAGGGCTGCCTCGGTGTGAAACTTGATTTTTGAAGGGTTTTTGTGACTCTTTATTGGGCCCCAAACCTGCCTTGGCTCTGTGAGACTCTGGTGATAATGGCATGTGGCAGGTACTTGCTGTCCAGAGGGACAAAGCCTCACCTCCCATAAAAACCTCAGTGCCCAGGGTGTGGTGACAGTGCAGCAGGGGCCTGTGGCCATCTCTAGATCCTGCTCTGCTTAGTGGTCAATCCCTGGCACTTGGAGGTTCGTGTCCTCTCTGCAGAGGGATTCCATGGGCCAAAGGGCTGGAGTTCCCAGTGGAAAGCCCATGTCTCGTGCCTGCTTCTCCCTGCTCTGCCGGGGATTCCAGCTCTGGCACAGACACATGACACAGCTCAGAGCCAAGGTGGTTCTTTCCCTCAGAAAGAGGGAGAAATGAGCTTTTGGAAGCAGCGGAGCCTCCTCATTTCCTGCTGCTCCAGCTGCTGTCCTTTTGCTGGCCAACTCATTGAGCTCCTGTTCCTGGCCTCGGAGCCCAGCCCAGCCCCGTTTCTTCTTGCTTCCTTGTGTGCCTGCTCATTCCTGCTGCATTATTCTCAGCCAGCACCTTTGTCAGCAGCCCTGGAGCAGCCCTTTCCCCTGCGGGTTCGGATGTCCCCTTCCTCCAGCGCCTCCCGGGCTGCGGTGCCGGCCCGGTGCGGGGGCGGGCAGTGGGATATGGGATACAGCCCTCTCCCACACGTTCCACCTTTCCCAGGGCCAGCTCCTCAGCCAGCCTTTGTGACTGAAGCTGGTCTGTCTGCTGGAGACTGTGAGTCCCTTGTGGCAGTGGCGCGTTCTCCTCTGTGCATTGTGCGCACGGAGCGCGCCGATGGGATTCAGCAAATAACAGTGAGAGATTGTGGGAATGTTCTGAGGCCTTTGTGTATCCGCATAAATAGAAACCTCTTAGGCAGGAAATAAAACTTGAGCAATTTATAGCTCTAAATCCTGCCACTTCTGCCTGTGAGAAGCCCCCGGCTCTTTTCTCACGTTGGGAGGGCCTGAGGATGGGGGCAGACGGTCGGTGAGAGCCAGCGGGTGCAGGGGAGGAAGCGCTGGAAACACTTGGGAACACTTTGGATCTCGCCTGGGCTCAGGCTCGTGGCTGGCTGGGCTCTGAAGGTGTCGCTTTGCCTTCCTCTCCCATCTGTGCAGCAGCAGAGCTGGGATCCGCCGGGTCTGCAGGGCACGCTGGGGCCTCTGCCTTCCACACCTCCCACTCGGGAGGTGGGATGGGATGGGAAGCAGAGGGCCTTTGGAATCCCTCCAGCAGCTGCCCAGCAGCACCCATCCTCCCCTGCCTTCTCCCTGGGGTGTCTCCCTGTCAGAGGAGCTGCTCCTGTGGCAGCAGGAATGGCCCTGCTCCCTAGCACAGCCCGAGCTCTTCCCCTGTGCCTTCTCCCTCCTCCTGCACCCCCGAGCTCCTTCCTCCTGCCCTTGGCCTTGGGCTGCTCTCCGAGTCCCTGCACGGGGACTGGAGCATTGCTGAGGGGGTTGCTGGGGGGCTGAGGGATTTGCTGAGGGTCTGGGGACTGCGATACCGGAGCTAACCTCTCCCCCTCCACCCTTGCCCTCCCAGCAGAAGGACGGCACCTTCGCTGCCGGGGGCTACATGCCCCCGCTCCGGTTCAAAGCCCTGACGCTGGCTGTTGTGTTTGGAACCATGGTTGGAGGCATCATGATCCCGAATGGTGAGTGGGGAGCTGGGAACAAGGGCTGGCTGCTTTCTCTGGTCTCTGTTATTTGTTTTCCTGGCTGGGGCGACCAGACTCACACCCCATCCTGCCCGGGGGCTCTGGCAGCTGTCCCGTGCTGCTGCTCTGGCACTCCTGGAAAAGACCTTTGCTGACTTTTCCTCTTCTTCCCCAGTGGAAACAGTCCTGGGCCTGACAGGTGCGACCATGGGAAGCCTCATTTGTTTCATCTGCCCAGCTCTTATTTACAAGAAGATCCACAAGAATGCGCTTTGTTCACAGGTCAGTGCTGATGCTGCTTGACATCCCCCTAAGCCCTCTGCAGAGCCTGGGAACGTGCTTCATTTGGCTGCAGCACAGAAACTGCTCAGCACCTCCTCCAGCTTCCCCCTCCAGTCTGCCCAGTACAGGTGGGAGCTGTTCTGGGTGGGTGTCCACCACATAGGGATGCACAGACAGTGGTAGAGCTGCTGGCCCAAGCTAGAAGAGCAGCTCTTTTTGTCCCTCCAGCAGCAAGTGAAACAGTCATTTTGTGCATAAAATGCTGCTTCCAGTCCTCCTCCTGGTAGGATTCAGGTTTTGGATCCTCAGAAGAGGAAATCCAGGCAGCCTGTAAAACCTTAAAGCCTCACATCCCGATCTGCCCGGGCTGGGTAAAACAAACAGGGCTCCACGATGCGGTTTGTGCTGCCGACCCTCAGCTTTCTGCTTTCAACCAAAATAATAGTAAAAAGGAACACACACATAGAGGTGTTGCTTCAGGAATTGATTTTCTGAGGGATTGGGGTCGTTCAGAGGCTGTTAGGAGTTTAACTTTTCCTTTTGCTCCAGTTTGAATTGGCCTCCTCAGGGACCGAAACAAAGTGGCTCTTTGCTGGGCTTGATCTCTCTGCTCCTGCAAATACCGTGGGCTGAAATTAACAGGTTTTGGGGTTTTTTTCCTGACAATAATTTAACCCACTGCCTTTTTCACAGGCCTTTGTCTCCAACATTCCCAGTCAGGACAGTGCTGGGTTGGGAGGAAGGTTTTGGGCACAGTGTGGAGTCAGCAGGGGAGAGCAGCACGTTTTTGTGGGGCCCACAGAACTGGTGGCTTGTTCTGTGCTTAATGACTTGTGGCTTTGCAAACCTACGTGAATTTTTTAAGCAGGGTGTGTTTTTTTTTTCTTCCCTGTGCTTTCCCTGACACAAGGAAATAGTCCAACTTTCCAGCTTTCACTCTGAATTCTGACACTTAGCTCCGAACTTCTTTGAGTGAAACCCCGAGCAGGAGTCTGAATGCCAGCCTGGGTTTTTCAGGGAAACAAAGAGCACTTTCAAGAATTGCTCTCTATTCCGGCTGAGCCAGAGTGTTTCCCTGCAGTGCCTCGAGGCTGCACTCAGGACAGGCTGAGCTCTCAGCCCGGCTGCTCGGGGTGGGACACTGGGGCCCTCACAATGCCTGACCCCAAACCCGGTCACGAGGCTGAGGGAGATGTTTGTCCTGCAGAAATCCCCACAAAGGAGGAAGGGCTTATCTAAAGCATCAGGCCCCGGGTTACCTCTTGAGGGGCTGGCAGCAAGCTGTCCAGCCTTCCCTGAGTGATCCATTGCCTGTCAGGTTTGCATTCCTGCTTGGAGCGAGGACACACCTGCCCGCCCTGCTCAGCACCTCCCCGCCTGCACAGCCCAACTCGGAGCCCACCCTCTCCTCCTCCCTCCAGGTCTTTGCAAAGGCTCATTTATTCTTTCCCTGGAGCTCTGTCTTTGGTCTCCTCCTTCATTCCTGCTCTCCTTTGATCAGGTGCTCCACTCCATCAAAGTCAGCTCCTGAGGAAGGTGGCGGGCGGGGGGAGAGGAGCCAGCCCTGGGCTCAGCTGTCCTTCTCCTCCTGTCCCTGTCCAAGCAGCCTGCATGGATGTTCTCCCTCCTTCCCTGCATCAGCTTTAGCCTCTTTCAGAGCAGCAAACCTCAGTGCCAGCTTTTACACTTCTCTGGGTTATCTTGGCTCTTGTGCTGCTGAGAACTGGCTGCTTTTATCTGGCACCCAGCAGCGTCCAGTGTCGGGCAGGTGGTGACATGGAAGGCCAGGTTTTTACAGGAGATGGTGCAAACTGAGGCTATGAAACAGGGATTTTGCACTAAAAGTAGTGAAGAGGATTTCAGGTGGGGGAGTAAAATGGGCAGATGTTTGCTGGCCAGCAAAGGGCTTCTCCTGAGGAGCTGGGACGGATTGGAGCTGCTGCTCAGCCAGGCTGGGCTGGGAGTGGCCTGGTTGGAAGGGTTAGGTTGGAAAGGCAGATCCCAGAGCAGTTAAAAAAGCAGTCAGGCACACAGTGCTGTGAGTGAAGCAGGGAGAGTGTTCCCTTTCTTGTGGTTAAGCATCTGTTCCTGTAAAGGTCCGCGTCCCGCTGCTCCCCGGGAGCCCCGGGTTTGGCAGGGCTGCCGCAGGGCGTGTGGGGGTCTGTGAACAGAGTGTGTAACTGCCAGCAGGAAGGTGTTGCCTTCCCAGTGTTGACACAAGCTTGTCCGAGAGGCCCCTCCTAGGGAGGCCGGAGTTGCTGTTGTCCCAGTTGGGGAAGAGGAGCTGCCCGAGGTCAGGAAGTGACCCCTCGGCTCGCTCCTGTGCGGGTGGAAAAGAGATTCCCTCTGCCCTTCCCTGGCAGGGCAGGGGCCAGCACACCTTCCCCAGCAGCACATCAGGGGTGGGGTACAGCCCCCCAAACACGGCATCTCTGAGGGGGGAGCCGACAGCGACCGGGGCTCTGCATTCCTTCGCCATGACTCCGTCCCTCGGAGCTCGGTGTCCAGGAGGACGGGGATGGCGTCACGCCACACAAACACGGCGTGTTTGCTCCCCGTGGCTGCAGGAGGAGGGCTGAGCTGATGGCTCTGCTGTGCAGAGTTGGAGCCATCATCTTCTGGGAGGAAGGAGGGCCGAGGGAGCGCGACCTGCCGAGGAAACGGCCGCGTAAATTCCTGTCCTGAGTTCCTGGCCGGGCTCGGAGCGTGGCTCCCGGGAGATGGGCCCTGCCCCGGGGCTGTGACACCCTCTCACCCTGTCCATGCTGAGAGGAGCTTCTGCAGAAAGGTCTCCGTGGGATCTCTGGGTCTGGGGGAGATCATTCCCGTGGGACCAGACCTTGCTCCCCTCGCTCCAGGATCTTTGGATGCCGTGGGGATTGGTGGCTCCTCTGCCTGGGTTGGTTCCTTGAGCACCCCAGTCCTTGCAGCCCTCACTCCCGTTCCTTCCATTGCCTTGGTGGTCCCCTGAGTGCAAACCGCCTGCTTTTCCACGTCATAAGCATCTCCATGGAATTTAGCCAAATCATGGCCCTCTTTATTCTGTTCTTCAGCTGGGGAGGGGGGTAGGTGAGGAGGGGGGAGCTGGGTGAGGGCAGCTCAGGGACAGCCCAGCCTGTCCCCGACTGCCACGTGTGCCCATACCCGCTGCTCCGGGAGCTCGCAGCTGAACTCCAAATGTGCAACAATCAAAGGGGTTTCAGCCCGAGCCATTTGAGCCCCTGGTTCCCCACTAAGATAAGAAACAACAAAAATCCTTTTAAAGCATTTCATGTTTTCAGCCGTTTCCTACAGTTCCCTCCTCTCCCACGTTGCTCCTGGTTCCTGTGGCACCAGAATAGATCCTCTTTGTGGAAACGCTCTTCCTCTCCGCTGTTGTTTCTGGAAGGTGCCAGAACAGCCTCCCAGGCACAAAATGCATTTGTGGATTGTGGGAGGGGAGGAAGTGGAGCAGCTCGAGCCCAGGGCAGCGGTGCAGGACCTGCTGACTTGGCGTTTGCCCGGGGGGTGGATGGCAGGATATCTGCTCTTTGTGCACCCCGGGCAAGGCAGGCAGCACATTCTGCTCCTGTTTCCTCTGCAGCAGCTCTAAGGTCTGGCCTCTGCTCCTTGGCCATGCTGCCCCTGATCCAGAGCTGCTCCGCGTCCCGCCAGCCTTTTCCTTCCGAAGGCGTCGGGCTGTCTGCGGGGTGTGCTGGGAACGGGCCCTCCGGGGTCTCCTGGGCCCGGCTCTGACCACGCTGCTCCCATTTCTGGGTGACCTCCCTCAGCACGAGGCGGGTGAGGAAAGCATCGGCCCCTCCTCCCCCTCTGGAAGTGCCAATGTTTTAATTCCTCCTTCCAATTTCACCTCTCCCCTTGATTTGCAGTTTCCTGGCAGCTTCCAGTGGTAGAAGTGCTCCCTGTGGCCGTTCCTGCTTTTCCCCATGCTGAGAAGCATCTTTTTGTTGTGCTTTTTGAGAATTGGGGTGTAAATCTGCACACTGAGGATTGGGAGTCATGGAATCATGGAATGGTTTGGGCTGGGAGGGATTAAAGCTCATCCAGCTCCACCTCCTGCCATGGGCGAGGACACCTTCCACTAGACCAGGTTGTCCAAGTGCCATCAAACGCTTCCTATGACTCATGTGGAATTAGATCCTTTTAGATCAATTTGTCATCACATAACAAGCTGTAAAAATTCTTCTGTTGCTCATCACTTTCTCCTTTTTGAGGTAGAGAAATTCCAGAAGCCCTTCCCTTCACGGGATCCAGATACCATCCTTCTATTTTTATCCCGTTTGATCTTAGCTTTCTGGGAATCAGGGAGTCATTTCTCAGCAGCTTCTTGAGCCCTGGGACCACGACCTGTTGTGTGGACATGTTTCCCTTGCTTTCAAAAACCAGGGCTTTTTGGGCAGCTCCCTGGAATGGTTGGGGGCTGTAACCAGGCCAGGCTCCTCTGTGCCCAGGCAGATCCAAATTCATGGAATTCTCATGCTGGGAATACCAGGGAATGCGTCTTTGCAGCAGGACTTGTGCATTTTTCTACCCCTGTGTCCTCTCCACTCACTCCACTTACTTTCGAGCCTTTCCAAAGCCTTTCCAACAGCTGGGGATGCTCCCCTTGGATTTCCTGTGCTCACTGTCCCTCTGGCACTTTGTGCAGATTATCCTGTGGATTGGGCTGGGAATGCTGGTGATCAGCACCTACACCACCCTGTCTGCCACCGAGGACACCCCTGTGAGGACAGAAGCAGTGGGCTTGGAGCACCTGGGCAGAGAGGAGAACAGAATTGACCAGGATTCAGTCAAACTTCCAGGTATGTGCTTGCTGGAGTTGGGTTTCCCAGCCCTGTTCTCAGCTTCACCTCTTAAAAAGAAGAAGGTTTGGTTTTTTTCAAGTGTGGCAGAAGCAGGGTAATTTCCAGGCAGCTCTGTGCCTCTTCCCAGCTTCCTGGGGCCTTTTCCCAAGGAAAGCTGAACTTCTGTCTGCTGGAAAAGCTGCTGTGACCTCCAATGGTACTTTGTGGGAGTTGTTCTTTTGGGAAGGGAAAGGTGTGGTGCAGGCCTGGGATCCCCTGGAGGGACAGAGCAGGGATCCTTATTTGGGATGAGCAGAGTGCCCTCCTGGCCCTGTTCTCCCCCTCTGCCAGCCCAAGGACCAGCCATCCATCACCCTCGAAGGTAAGGAAATTTATGGGAGCTGCCTCTTTTTTTGGTGCCGAGGGTATAAATTTGGAATCTGCTTTCGCTCTGACAAAGCCTGTGATTATGCCTCAGCTTTGTTTACTGGTTCTTGTTATTTATTATTTGTTTGCTGATGGAATTACGGCCGCTCCTCCCTTTCCCAGCTGCTCCGGAGCAAGGCCGTGGCGCGCAGGTGCCGCCTGACCCCGCGCTGCCCCTCGGCCCTGCCGCGTCCTGTTCCTTCGCTTCAGTTTTGTTTCCTTCTGCTCCTGCGGGGTTATTTTTTTATTTTTTTTGTTCTTTGGAGGCCTTGAAATATCCTCACGGAGATTGAGAGCGGAAGGGAGAAAGGGGCTGGCTCTTCTGGAGATTATCCTCCCTCCTGGTTCTTGGCTGGGTTCCTGCCCGGCAGCTTGGAGCGTCTCCCACACCGGTGCTGCTGCCGATAACATTCACTCTGGGGTTGCTCCGTGGTGGAGTTTACTTGTGGTTTTTACTCGTGGCTTACTCAAGGCTGTGTGTGCCTTCCCGGGCACATGGATGCCGGTGAACTCCCAGCAAAAGATGCTCCCAATCCCTTAATGGAGCCCTCAGCAGGGCCTGGAGGAGGGATGCGATTGAATTCTTCCGTCTTGGTTAATTTTGGAGCAGTAATGGCCAAAGAACAGCTGCTCCTTTCAGGAGGAATCGCTAATGACACGTGTTCTGACTGGGAAAATAAAAAATCCCATAAAACACGGGGTCCGCTGGAGTTTGCTGAATCTTCTCCCGTTCTCGGCGTGAGCCGGGGCGGTGGAGCGGGATGCCAGGCTCTGATCACACGAGCGCTCCGCCGGCAGCAGCTCCGAGTGCTGCTGGATTAAATAATCCCACCCGGGAGGAAGGCGGGTTTAGTGCTCCCGGGTCATAAAGTTCCCAGGGAGGAGCTGTGCAGTTCCGAGTGAAGCTCAGCTGTCCCCTGAGGTCCCTTTGCCAACCAGGGCTCCATCCTCGGGGAGGAGGAAAGGGGGGAGATGGAGCCGAGCAGAGAAGGGGGACCAGGACCTGCAGGGTGGACGTGGGGCTGCCCCGCGAGAGCCGCCGCTGCCATTCCTTGGATCCGTGCCTCCCTGTGCCTCTGCAGGATGTGGGCTTGACTAGCAATGAGAGGCGTTAAATGGTGCCCTTCATCCCCCTCCACGGCTCCCCCTCGTCCTCACCCGCCTTGTTTTGCAGAGCAGGAGCTGCTGCCTGGAACGCGCTGCAGCAGCTGCATCCTGTCCTTCCAGGGGCGCAGGATGCGGGCTGCGCCGCCCCCGGCACCTGGGTGCCCTCCGGATGGGCTGAATTCCGCACTCGGGGCTGCAGCAGGATCCCACGGCTCCTCCCTGGGCACCGCTGCTGGGTGCTCAGCCCCTTCCCCGCAGGGCACAGGGTTCCCTGGCTGCGGGCTGCTGCTCCAGGCTCCTTTCCTGGCCGCAGGGTGATGCTCCCAGCCCTTTTCCTGGCTTCTTCCAGACCCCTTCTTCCAGGCACAAGGTGCATCAGTGCCTCTGGGTGAGAGGATGCTCAGCTCCCTCCCTGGGCACAGGTTTGCTCCGTGCCCTTTCCCGTGCTGCCCCATCCAGGGCAAACCTCAGGGCCTTTCCCCAGCGCTGCCTTCCCCGTCTGCCTCCTGCCTGTCAGCGTGTGAGAGGAGTTTTATTGGCCTCTTTGATGTTGTGGAGCCCAGAACTGGAGAGACTTTCATTAAAGCCCTGCCCCGTGGGCCCGGGGATTATGAATATTAGAACATTGGCCTTTTATGTGAACACGTATTGACCAGCGGCCTCGGAATCGTGTTTTTCCTAACGACACCCAAGTGCCCATTACAGCCCCAGCCTGTGGTGCTGGAGGTTTTACTGTCAGCAGCTCTTCGGGAAAGGGATAAAACCCCTTCCAGCCCCGTCCTGCCGCTCTGCGCCGCGGCTGCGCCTCTGTTAAAAGGTTGCTAAGCTGCCTCTGAAAGCTCAGGAAGGCAATTATCCATTTAAAAAAAAAAGAAAAAAAAAAAAAAAAGCTAATTAGGCAATTTCTCTCCGTATTTAAAGCACCCTCGAGGGTCTCGGGGGGGATTAAGATTTTGTAATATTTTTCAGCTCCTTACTTGATCGTTGCTGCTTCATCTTCTCCCTGCCGTTGTGCAATGTTGGGTAACAAAGCCCTGATTCAGGCTCCTTGTGCAAGGGCCCTTTTCCCGGTGTGCCGGGCACCGAGCTCCGGCCATCCCGGTGTCCTGGGGCCTGGGGTGGGCTGTGTTTACGTGGACTGGGGCAAAATCTGGGGCTGCGTTTGGCGCGCGGCATCCCCGCATCCTCCGTCCCTGCATCCGTGTGCTCTGCCCCCCAAGAGCAGCCTGCCCGAGCCAGGCTGGGTCCCTGCCGGCGTTCCCAGCCGGAGCAGCCCCGGAGATGTGTGGAACGTGGCTCCTGCATCCTGCTTAGCTGCAGGAACAGCTTGGCTCCGCGGCGGCTCTCCCTGGTGCTTTGTGCGAGCGAGCTTTTAATAGTGCCTGTGACACAGAAAAGGAACCAGCAGCCTCTGGTAATTTGGGTTGGTTTTTACTGCTGGTGCGTCAGGAGACAACTGTGAACTAATTTCAGGGATGCCATTCCATAACCTTGTGAAATCTGGACCCGTTTCGGGGGAAGGGAGGGCTCCTGGAGGCGCAGCTGGGCTGGGGGCTCCCCGGGGAGGGCCAGGCCCTGCCCTGCTCCGGGTGCGGGGCTGCTCGGCACGTCCGGGGGCAGCGTTTGCCCCCAGCCCTCTGTCCCGCTTGTTCGGCTCCTTCTCCTTGGCACGAGCTCCTTATCAGGCGATGGAGGAATTTCAGCAGATCTGGAGCCGCACTGGCACAAGCAGGTCGTGAACCCCGTGTCCCTGGGCAGCCCCGGGGTGACGCCCTGGGGTGTGTGGTGTGTCCCGGAGCTCCTCGCGCTGTCCCCGAGGCTGCCCCCGGACTGGGGGCGAGCACAACGAGGCCCATCCCGCTGCCTCTGCCCAGGGCAGGGGCTGTGGAGGCACATTTCAGCTCCGAGAGGCTGGAAAAGTGTGTGAGGAGGGATTTAGTGCCTGCCTGGGACCATTGCAACGATCCCAACCAGGAGCGGGGGGAGAATGGAAGCTTTTAGGTTGCTAATCATGAAATTTTATGGCAGCCTGGAGAGGCTGTTGCCAAACCACAACACACCCAGGCACGCACACACACAAATCAGCTGCAGGACGCCCCGGCTTCCCCTCGTGTGAGCGGAGCTGCCGGAGAGCCGGGGGGTCAGAGCAAACTCTATCGGTGCTGCCTCACGCCCCGGCCTCTCCTTGGGAGCCAAAAAGCTTTTACAGCCTCTCAGGCCTTGCCTGTAAAGTCCAAGGCCGCTCATAAAACATGACGAGGAGCAGCGTTACTGGAAGACGCTCCAAAGGGACCTGGAGGGTGAGAAGAAAGGCAGAACCCCAGCAAAACTCTTTCCTGCGAAGCACCCGGAGCCCCGGATGGATTTCCAGGCAGCCTGAGAGGTTGTTAATTCACGCCCTGGTGATGAACTTAATTTTGTCTCCCGCTGAGCAAATGATGGCTTAGAGGCAGCTTGGCCTTATTGCGGCGTGGAGACTTTTGGGTTTGTGTTTTGTTTGTGTTTTGGGCTTTTCCTGCATTGTTTGCAGAGCAGGGAACGTGCCTCTGCCTGATTTATGATGGAAGCTGCCAGGGACACTCCCGGAGCAGAGCGGGGCCTCCCCCGGCCCCTCGGGCTGCCCCGGGCCCACGGGGGGTTCACCTGCTGCTCTGGGCAGGGCAACTGCGGCCTTTAACTCCTCCAGTTCCTGCTGGAAAGGAAACCTTCCCCCCGTCTTCCTTCTTATTTCCTCCTCTCTTCCTTTTTATTTCCTTCTCCTTCCTTTTGATTTCTCCTTGAACGTCGTCTGGCTGCCTTGGCTGTGGGAACAGCCCTGCCTGTCTCGGGGTTCTCTGGATCCTCCGGTCCTCTCCGACCAGGGCCATCTCCCGCCTCCATGAACCAATTAACGAGGAACTTTCCTCCAATAGAGTAAATAATTTCTTGCATTGTGGCCAGGATTGAGCTGGGAACATCCGCAGCCGTGCCGAGCGCTCCCCTCCCCGGCCTCGGCCTCCCGCTTCCCAGGGCCCCTGGCCAGGGCTGGGCACTGGTTCCTGCAGCCCAGTTTTTCCTGAAAAGGAGGAGTGTCCTGCCCTGACTTGCTGAACCCTGGGAAGTCCCTCAGTGGAGAGGGGGACCCTTGGGTACTAGACTCGAATTTCTCAGAAAATCCGAGTTCTTTTCCCCTCCCACCATCATTCCCGAAGCGAAGGAACGTGGAGAGGCGGCCAGCCCCACACACGTCCCTCCTCTGGGTGTGGAGCTCTGGGCTGCAGTCCGGGTTTCTGGAGAGGCTCAAGGTCCTGCTGGCACAGATCCCTCTGGGCCAGGAGTTTGTACTTAATTTTTTGTGAATTTTTGTTGTTCCCCCCCTTCCCCAGCTCAGGCAAGGCCCACGCAGCTGAAGTTGTGGCAATCCCTTCTTTCCCATGAGTTCATCTCGTAATAAATCGCACCAGCCCTGCGGAGGGGGAGGAGAAAATGGAAAGATGTTTATAGAATTAATTCCCCAAAGGAAATCACACGGGGGAGGGCAAAGGGGGGAAGAGTTGGGAATTTTTTTTTTTGTTACAGAAGATAGATTTTTTTTTTTTAAGAGTTGGTTGGATGGAAAAAAATCTGCAGAACAACTTCACTGCTGGGAAACAATCCGATTTCCTTCTCTGCTGCTCTCCAAAGGAAGAGTTCACTCCCTGTGTGGGTTTTCTGCCACGCTGGGGGTGGAAGGGACCCTTCCCATCCCATGGAATGTGAGAAAGATTCCATGTGGAATATGCTGGTCATACCAGTGACTGGTTTGACTGGGATGTGTCTTCCAAAAACATTCCATCTCTTTGAGGGCAAGGCGGGGGGGGAAACTCCCCTGTCTCCCTCAGGAGTTTCCCCTAATTAATGCCTGTTTAATCCCCCTCCTCAAAACTCCTTCGGGAAAAGGGAACCTCCCCACTCCTCCTCCGAGAGGCGTCTGGAGGGCTGTGGGAACACCCGGGCACTAAAAGGGGGAAAAAATAAAAATAAAGGATGTTTTAAGAGGTTTCACAGCAAACAGCAGCGGGGAGGCGAGAGCTGGGCTGGACCCCAGCTGAGGTTCTGGTGTTGGGGGCTTCGGGGCTGGATCGCAGCTCTGTCTCTTCCAATGCCGGGGGATCCAGGTCTGGATTCCAGCTCGGTGTCTCCTGAAGCCGGGGGTCTGGGGCAGGGAGCCGGGGGGATGCTACCATCTGGTGGCACTGGCTCGCAGCAGCAGCCGGCTCCATCCCTGCTCCATCCCTGCTCCATCCCTGCTCCATCCCTGCTCCATCCCAGCTCCATCCCTGCTCCATCCCAACTCCATCCCAACTCCATCCCTGCTCCATCCCTGCTCCATCCCTGCTCCATCCCAACTCCATCCCTGCTCCATCCCTGCTCCATCCCTGCTCCATCCCTGCCATGCTTCCCTTCCAGCATAAAAACCCACGACAGAGAAAATAACCGGGTGACCCCGGAACAAAAGCTCCCCCACCGTGCTGAGGCTGGAGGGAAATCAGTGGCTGGGCTGGGTGGGTGAAGGGGACTGGGACAGACACAGCAATTCCCAGATGCCACAGCTCATCCCTGTCCCCATCCTGTGTTTGCAGAGCAGAACCCGGTGGTGGAGGAGCCCGAGGATGACCGTGATAAACCCAAAGTGCCTGAGGAGAAGGAGGAGATGGAGCAGCCACAGATCAAGGTGCCGGTGCAAGTGCCCAAGAGGGAGGAGGAGAGAGGAAAAGTGGAAGAGAAAGTGCAGCTGGACCGTCCTGATCAAGGTAAAGGTGGTCCCAGGAAAGGGAGCTGGACTGGGAGCTGGGGGTGTTTTGTGGGACTCTTGAGACAGAGATCCTGAACTCTGCTCCGTACCCTCCTCCCCTCACTCCACCTCCATGGTGGTACTGGTGGATTGAAGGTGGTTTGGTGTTTGATGCTCTGGAGGCTTGTTGGGAACGTGGCCTCCAGATGAGGGAGAGAAGGCAGAGAACCTGCTGCCTCTGACCCTGCCTGTCCCCCCAGGGATTGCCCTGCCCGTGGGGGAAGCTCATCGCCACGAGCCCCCGGTCCCACACGATGAGGTGGTCGTGGACATGGGGCGGGAGCGGGAGGAATCCAGCGAGAACAAAGTGGCTCCCGGAGGAGCCAGCGACCGTCTGCTGGAGGAGCCAGCCAGGCTGAAGCCCCAGAAGGAGGCGCTGGCCCCAAAACAAGGGAAGGAAGTGGTTGCTGAGAACCAGCAGCGGGGAGGGACCGGCAGGCCCGACCCAGGTCTGGAGAAGGTCCCGGAGGCAGCGGGGCAGCAGGGGGGAAGGCCGCCCTACAAGGAGCTGGAGCCAGGGGAGGCCAAGCTGGAAGCCAAGGCACTGGCGGCCGTGCCGGACGGTGACACCGCCGAGGCTGCTGACCAGGACAAGTCACAGCTGCAGCTCCCCAGGAAAGCAGAGGAGGCTGCAATGGAGAAGGAAGCAGACCCTGGTAAGCTCCTTTCATGGCAGCTCATCTGAGCAAGCTCTTCTGGGCCTGTAATGCCCCTGGAGACGGGACTATTTGGTCATTCCCATCTCCATCCTGGTGCTTCCTTTTAACTCCACGAGTGGAGCACGTGAGTGTGCACAGCCCCTCCGGCAGCTGCTGCGGGAAGGGAGGAATCTGGTGGCTTTGACAGCTACTGCAAGAGCTGTCAAACAGTTGTTCGCTACCCGCCAAAATGTCAGGTGCCGTGCTGTTCCTGCACGGCTCCCAAATCACCGGGGACACGGAGCCGGGAGATCTTGACAGGGAACACATTGCCAAGTGCCCGTCTAAAAGCCAGTTAGAGCTGTTCTTGCATGTTAATTGGCCGAGGTAGTTAGTGCTGGCTCGCTGCCACCAGCCATGGGATTGTTAAATATTGGGTTTATTACTTCCCTCGCAGCCGTCGGGTTGGATACAAACGGTGCCGGGACGATGTGGAGGAGTTTTAGGGAACATCTGCACTGACAGCAAAGCTCTGTCGTCCTTTGCAGGTGAAAAGCAGGAACTGCCCCTCCCAGAGAGAGCAGAACTGCTGGAGAACCGGAACACTGAGGAGAAAGAGGAGAAGGCAGGGGGTGAGTGTGTCCCTGGAGCATGCAGGGACAGGCTGGATCTCTCTGGATCTCTTTCTGTGGGAGGATTTGAGGCCACAGCCCCTGCATAGCATCAGGTGGTGCCTGTCCACCTCTGGCACACCTGGCAGGGCCACTCAGGGACCTGAGGCACCCGGCTCTGGCTGCTCCCTGGGAAGAGGGAGACAGGAGAGAAACAGAGGGGCATGGGCAGGGGCACATGGGGACACCTGAACACATCACAGGGAAAAGCTCCTTCCCTCAAGGCCCCGGCTGCTCTGTCCCTGGGGCATCAGAGCTGGAGCCGCAACGCCCTTCCTCGGGCTGAGCTCCTCCCTCCAAACTCTGACTGGCAAAGGAGGGTTGGAGCCTGAGCTTGGACTTGTGTGCAGCTCTCTTGCTCTCATCCCATCCTCTTCCTTCTCTCTCTCCTGGCAGGGTTTATGGAGCCCTTGCAGCCCCATCCAGAGCTGAGGTGATTTCTGAGGGCTTCGGCTCACAGGGGATTTATTTCCTCTGTCTTTTTCCCCTTTTCCAGAAGCAGGGCCAGCAAAACTGCTGGACCACAATGTGCTGCTGCAGGTGATCAAGGAGCAGCAGGTGCAGCACAAGCAGCTCCTGGACCAGCAGGCAAAGCTGCTGGCGGTGATCGAGGAGCAGCACAAGGAGATCCACCAGCAGCGGCAGGAGGAGGGGGCAGAGGAGAAGCCAAAGCCAGGTAAGGACGTAGCCAGGGAGCAGGACCCCTCCACAGCGTGCTCACAGCTCAGAGCAGCTCCGAAATCAAGCTGGGAGAGATCTGAGTTCCTTTGGCACATGGCAGAGTCCCCTTGCACAGCCATTTCTGTAGGGATAAGCCACAGCTCTGCTCATCCCGCCCTGTGGCCTCATCTCGTGTCACACAGAATGTGGTGGCAGGAGAAGGGAATGTCCTGAGAAAAGCCTTTTCCATGTCGGTTTTGTCCTGCAGCAGAAGCACAGCCAGAGCCTGCTGTGCCCCTGTCCAGGAGCAGGGAGGACGAGGGCCTCAAGGGAGACACGGCTGCGAAGCCGCTGAGCAAGGAGCAGCCGGAGCAGCGCCCGGGCCAGCAGCCCCCCGAGTCCACCAAGCAGCACAGGGACATCGTGGGGAAGCTGGAGGAGGCTGGGCACAGGCGTGACATTCCTGTGGCTCCTCCCAAGGACTGGAAGGTGCCGCTGCAAGAGAATGACAGAGCTGTTAAGAATCCTGTGGAGAACCGGGATCCCCTCCATGGAGATGCCCAGCATGTTCCAGCAGCCAGAAACAACCTGGAGAAAAAGCCCTTGGCAGAGGGTTTGGGAGAACGTGAAGCCAAAGCTGGAAGAGATGTCCACCAGAAGAAGAATTTCCTGAAAGCCATGGAAGCAGCTGCAGCTCCGATCCAAAGAGAACAGCCGGGGGCTGCCAAAGTTCAGGGAGTAGCAGGAAGGAGTTTGGAAAGAGACTCAGGAATAGACCTTAAAGCCAAAACTGTGAGTCAGGTGGAGCCCAAGGACCTGGCAGTGGTGCCGGACTCTTCCAGTAACAGGAAGGTGGCGGTGAGGGAGCAGCACCCCCGGGAGCAGGAGCGGCAGAGGGGGGCACAGGCCGAGGGAGCGGGCGGGCGGCAGCGGGACCCGCCTGGCCACGGGCACGGGAAGGAGGAGGATCCCCGGGA